AATACTACTCTGTGAGAAAGTTTCCATTGATTCAGGGTGAAATAAGAAAAAATAGAAACAATGTAAGATACTTTATGAGGCCATTTTGTAAATAAAGGCAGAATTTGAAAAAAAAAATTCAAATTTCTCAGCAACATACCCTTTGAATGCTGCTAAGATTACAGTTTGTTAACTTTAACTTTATGCAGACCTATAATAGTTTGTGAAACCAGTCAGCTCAGTCCCATAAGCCCTAGGACAGTCAACACATTTTCTTTTTGTCATTCTTGGAAATATGCGAGGTATCCTGAAGAGGTACAAAAACCTCCAAATCAGCTACTCCATTATTTATGGCTCTCACTGAATACTGTTTCCCTCTCTTAATTATTCTTCCCTGCTGACCTTCTTCAATCTTCTGTGTTCTCAGCAACTCTCATTCCATTCAAAGAAAAATTCATATGCATTCTCAAGCTCTTTATAGAATATTCATTCCTTCTCCCTTCTAATCTAAGATGGATCTTGGCTGTCATCGAAGCACCTCTTCATAATATGGTCTTGGAAGTTGTTTTGATATATTCATACCTCCCTATTCTCACTTCCTCATAAAGATTTTTCGTCTCTTATACAAAAATTTTTTTAGAGGTTCATACCACTTAGCTATGGCCATCTTAGTGTCATGATAAACTAAGCAATTCCTCATTCATTTATTCAACACATATTTACTGAGCATCTCCTATGTGTGAGGCACACAAATACCTGCCCTCAGAGAGCCTATAGTTCATTGTGAATAAAAGACATTAAATAATTGTACTAGGTCAATAAAAACTCTGGTTATCTAGCTCACATTGTAGCTTTCCATCCCAAATCCTGCCAATATTATGAAAGGTTACTTCAACTGGCATAAACAACCCTTGGCATAGAAAACCCTTGATAACCTTATTTCTAATAGCCATCAGCAACCAAGCAACTTCCGTTTTCATATTTGGGTTCTTATTACTTAGAATTGTTCTACTATGAGACAAACTTGAATAAATCAATCCCTAACTACATTTTCCTATCCTTTCAATTTTCACTTTCTTGCAGTTAGTATATTCTCCAACTTTTATCAAGGTCCCACCACAGTACATTGATTCTCTACTTTTCTCCCAGTCTATCACCTCTTATGAAGTCACTTTACTCTTTATGTAGCTTAATTTCATGGTGAATCACTTTCAGTACTCTTTTCAGAGTCTTCAAATTCCTTAAACACTTGTCCTTTATATCTATCACCCAATCTTAGTTTGACCCAATAATCTCTCTTATCTACCCTTTCTAAAAATTGAGGTAAAATTTATATAACATAAAATTCACTATATTAAGCATTTTAAAGTATACAATTCAATGGCTTTTAGTATGTTCAAATTGTCATGCAACCATCATAATTATCTAATTCCAGAATATTTTCATTTCCTCAATAAAAACCCTATACCCATTAATCACTCCCATTCCACCTCCCTTCGATACTGTCTTTATTCTGGGCATTCTCTATAAATTCAATCATATGGCATGTGACCTTCTGTGTCTGACTTCTTTAAATTAGCATAATATTTTGGAGGTCCATCCATGTTGTACCATGTATCAGTACTTCTTTCCTTTTAATGGCTGAACATTATTACATTGTATAGATATACCATAATTTCTTTATACATTCATCAGTTGATGGGCATTTGGATTGTTTCTACTTTTTGGCTATGATAATGCTGCTATGAACATTCATGTACAAATTTTTGTGTAAACATGTTTTCAATTTTCTTGAGTATATGGTAATTTTATATTTAATTTTGTAAGGAACTACTGAACTGTTTTCCATAGTGACTACATCATTTTACATTCCCAAAAGCAGTGTATGAGGGTTCAGATTTCTCCATATTCTCACCAAAACTTGTTTTTTTGTTTGTTTTTTCTCCTTTTATTAATATAGCCATCCTAGTGGATGCCAAGTAGTATCTCATTGTGGGTTTGATATTCAATTCCCTAACGACTAATGATGCTGAACAGCTATTGTTGGCCATTTGTACACCTTCTTTGGATAAATATCTATTTAAGTCCTTTGACCATTTAAAAAACCGTGCAGCTTGTCTTTTTGTTGTTGAGTTGTACGAGTTCTTTTCCCAACATATTCCCGATACTGGGCCTTTATCAGATATGATTTTCAAATATTTTCTCTCATTTTGTAGGTTTCCTTTTTCACTCTCTTGATAGTATCCTTTGATACACAAAGTGTCTATTTTTTTAAAGATTTTATTGGGGAATTGTGTTGGGGAATTGGGGAAGGGGAACAGCCAAGTTGTTGTCTTTCAGTCTTAGTTGTGGAGGGCACAGCTAGCTCAGCTCCAAGTCTAGTCACCATCCAGCCACCGGTTGGCAGCTCGCAGCCGCTCAGCTCAAGGTGCTGTGTTCAATCTTAGTTGTGGGTGGCCATAGCCCACCATCCCATGCGGGAGTCGAGCCAGCAACCTTGTTGTGAGAAGCACTTGCTCTCACCAGCTGAGCCATCCTGCCACCTACTGGCAGCTCAGCTCCAGCGCAGCTCACTGGCCCATGTGGGAATCAAACCGGCGACCCTGTTGCTCAGCTCTTGTGCTCTTAACCAACTGAGCCACTCGGCCGGCCCCTAAAGTGTTTAATTTTGATGAAGTCTAATTTTTCTCTTGTTGCTTATATTTTTGGTGCCCTATCTAAATATCAACTACCAAAGTCAAAGTGATGAAGAGTTATTCCTATTTTTAATTCTAAGAATTTTAGTTTTATCTCTTATATTTAGGTTTGTTGATCAATTTTGAGTTAATTTTTGCATCAGTATAAAGTCCTGCTTCAATCTTTTACCTTTGGATATCAAGTTGTTCCAGTACCCTTTATTAAAATTTTTTCCCATTTAATGGTCTTAGTACCCTTGTTGAAAATCAATCACCCACAGAAGTGTGAGTTTATTTCTGAACTTTCAATTTTATTCCCTTGATCTATATGTCTATCATATTCCAGTACCACATGGCTTTATTTTAGCTTTGTAGTAAGTTTTGAAATTAGACAAGTATGCACCCTCAAACTTTGTTCTGGCAAGGCTGTTCTGGCTATTTGGAGTCCTCTGTAATTCCATATGAAGTTTATGAACAGCTTTTCCATTTCTGCAAAAAAGGTAACTGAAATTTAGATGTAAGTTGCATTTGAATCTGTAGATTGCTTTGGGTAATATTATCATTTTAACAGAACTGTCTTCCAATCCATGAACATGGGATATCTTTCCATTTATCTTTAATTTCTTTCAACAATGTTTTGTAGTTTGCAGTGGACAATCTCCTTAGTTAAATTTATAGTTAAGTATTTTATTCTTTTTGATGTTATTGTAAATTAAACTGTTTTCTTAATTTCATTTTAGGATTGATCATTGGTAGTGTACAAAAATACAACTGATTTTTGTATGTTGGTCTTGAATCTTGAAACTTTGTTAACTTAGGTAGTTAATAAATCCTTTAGGTTCAAACTCCTCTATTTTTCTAATGTTCCCTTCATTCTGTAACACCTAACCTATTACGATAGTCTCCTAACTGGTTTTTCTATTTTCAGAGCCCTTAGGTCTAACATTTACATGAAAATCTGATAAACTTTTTTTGTAAAGNTAATGAGTTCAGGTTCCTATAGTTCTCCAGCATCACATCCCTGTACAGGTTCTTTACAGCAGGGTCCAGTCGCCTCCACTCTTCTTCGCTGAATTCCACAACCACATCTTTGAATGTCACTGGTTCCTAAAACATTAAGTTACTTTTTAATCAAAGGTCACTCCCAAAAACATTACTAGAGGAGAAATGAATTTGGAAAGAATAGGGTAGGTGGCCAGAACACACAAGAAATTGATAGGACAATGTTTGGGGTTCTAAGTGATAAAAATCAATTATACTAGGAGCTTATCAACTTGGTACTCTGTGAGGGCTGTGAAAGAAAAATGAAGTGCAGTCCTAACTCTAGATTAGTTTACATTTTGGTTGAGGAGGAAAAGATAGAATAATTGTGGGGGAAAAAAATTATTGTAGAGTACAAATAATTTACATAAAAGGAGTTCAGAACACAAAGTATTTAAGGCAGGTTTGTAATGAAGATGCCAGCTCTGCTAGCAGAATATGTAGGGCATTTTCTTTAATTGAGAAACGCAGCCTGCTAATTCAGTTCTTACAGCCCAATGTCGCGTTGTCAGACAGGCCTTTCCCAATTACCCAAAGCAGCCATCCTCCTAATCAGCCTCCACTGCATTACCTTTCTTTCTTTAATAATTATTACTGTCTGCAATTATCTTGTTTGCTTGTGCTTGCCTGTCTGCTTCTACTAGAATGTAATGTCCATAAAGGCAGGGGTTTTGTTTCATTTACCGTCATATTCCCAGCCCTGAGAAAAAGTGTCTGGCATATTGGGCACTGCATAAATATTTGTTACAAGGGCCCTCAAACCATCAGTCTTTGTACTTCTCTCTTTAGCAGTCTCAACCTTGTCATGATTGGCACCTTCAATCACATTGAAATACACAAATTCTTTTCCTTCCTGTACTTCAGAGCCCATCTTTGTGAATAAGTTGTCGACATTCATTTTTATCTACGTCCTCTCCTTCTCTCTCCTCAACCCTCTGCAACCTGGATTCTATTCCGTGCATGTATCTCCCTGGTGGCAAGTGAATAAGATGCTACTCAGGCTGGGTTTTCCTGAACTTTAAAGGATTTCTCCTTGAAATATTCTCATCCTTTGGTTTCAGTGACATCATATTTTCCTGGTTTTTCTCTACCACTTTGGTCCTTTCATCTCAGTATCCTTTGGGGTTTCTTCTGCCCCTGCCAATTAAACGACGTTGCTCAGGATTTTGCCCTTAGCTCCCTTCACTTTTAATTCTAAATATTCTTTGGGTAGATTCTATTTCTATAGCATCAATTAGCATCTATAATCTTGAAGAAATAGATGCACAGAGAATATACAAAAATATTTTCCAAAGAGTNAAGAGCTGAAAGTTTGAGTTTTATTCAATATCAATTTCAAGGATATTGCTTGGCTCCTCCTTAATATGTACTTCATCAATAGATCGGGTGAATAGGTCCTATGTATGAACTAGGGAAAGATGATGGGAATGGACATCAGAACAATGATACAAACAGTTGTATGCTGATGTGCTTTACTCCAAACCCTGTGGCTTCCTCTGGAAGCCTGGAAAAACTCCCTCAGATTTCTATCCAATAACAGATTTATCTCCAGTATTAATTCTGTCAGATCAATTAAAGAATAATCTCTGACAAACATTTTCTTCTATTTACTAGTTTCATAGGATTCCTTCCAGTATAAATTCATGGATGTTGAGTGTGTTCTAAACTCTGACTGAAAGTAACCTCACATTTCTTCCCGTTATAGGACTTCTTTCGAGTATGAAGTTTTTGGTGTTTAACAAGGTTTGAACTTCTGTTGAAGGTTTTCTCACATTCCTTACATTTAAATGGTTTCTCTCCTGTATGAATCATGTGATGTCGAATAAGAGAGGAGCTCCGACTGAAGGATTTTCCACAGCTAACACATTCATAGGCACTATCTCCAGGATGGAGACTTGGATTTTTCTTACTGTCTTCACTTTTAGTGAAGGCTGTTCCACATTTATTGCCTTCGTAGGCCTTGGCTCCAGTATGAATTTTTTGATGCTTAGCAAGGTTTGAACGTCTATTGAAGAATCTTCCACATTCACTACATTTATAGGGTTTCTCTCCTGTGTGAATGATCTGATGTCGAACAAGAGATGAACTCCGGCTAAAGGCTTTCCCACACTGACAACATTCATAGGAATTCATTGTGGTATGACTTTTTGGGTGATGAATATCTATACTCAGGTTCAAGGCATTCCCACATTCATGATATTCTGAATGTTGCCTACCTACTGAGTCTAAATTAAATTTGAAGTTAGTTTTAAACTTATCACACTTTGGGGAACCCTTTCTCATCGGAATTCCCTCTTGTGTATCAAAAACTGAGTTAACTGACTTAACATCAAAATTTTTCTTATTTTCACATTCAAAATCTCCCTCCTCAGTGTACACTGTCTTATGAATGAAAGCTTCTTGAGGCAAATTTATGTCCCAGTGTTCCTGGCTCCTATATAACAAGTCATCATCTTTCCAGGCATCTATAGAAGGATGTCCACTTTGGGTCAATTTTGTCATAATCACTCCATGGGATGGTTCTTCTCCAGAAATTCTCTGCTTTGGAACTGAATCTTGATTTTCCGAAATCGTCTGTCTGTCTGAAAAGAAATAAAAAATTCCATGAACTAGAACAAGGGAAATTGCTTAATTGGGAGGGGGAGGCTATACTATATAAGGGGATATGCATATTTTATGGGTCTTAAATACAGAATGAAATGTATATATACTGAAGTAAATTCCAGATTGATTAACATTTTATTTAAATGATGAAATAGATGAACTCAGAATAAATTCAGGAAGTAAGTTTCTTAGTTTGGGGATGGAAAAATTCTTATGTATAAAATTAACAGATATAAAATAGGGGAAGGTATCTGATAATATAAGTTTTAAAAGTATGTATGGTGAACACCATGAATAAAATAATTTAAAAAAGAGAACACCTCAGAGATAGCTCATTTACCATAACTGTGAGAATTTTTTTCAATAGTGAAAATTTACATAAGATCCTAATATATTAATTAAAAACCTCTAAATTTTTAATAAAGGACATAAAACCATTTACTGAATCACAAATGAACAAAACAAATGAAATAATTTTTACCTTTCTCATACTCCAATATCTATCCATTTATCCATTTTTTTCTTTGGTTCCTATATATGTGTTAAGTGCTGGAGATATAAAGCGCAAAAAAGACATGGTCCCTACTCTCAAGGAACATAAAGCCNAATAAGTGAAGGGGTCAAAAGGCCTTAAAAGAATAAATAAAAAACTAGAAGCAAATGGGTAGAATAGCATCTCTCAATACTTTTCATTGTGTCTTGCTGCATCATATAATATCCATTTTAAAAAATGACTCAATAGATTATCTTATATACATGTGTATGTATGCTTGTTAGATCTTACAGATGGGTGAAAATTTTGCGCACAAAAGTATATCCTGACTCCTGAGATCCAACACAAACCTTCTCCAAAGCTTATGGAAAGTCCAGGTTCATTAACAAAAGAAAGTTTGAATATGCCAAAGGTATCACCGAGTCCCAGCCAAACAATAAACTATAGTCCCAGATACTTTTAAAATCAACACAAAAGGATAAAGATAGAGGAAAAGCTCACAGGCCATATGTTAAAAATAAAACAAACAAGAAAACCAAACAAGGAAGCACAAAAATTTTTAAATTAAATTACAAGGATATTCAGTGTAAAAATAAATGTACTGAGTAAAAGTTTTAACCTAACTAGATAAACACTCAAGAGATATCTAAAACAAAAGAACTCCAATGTTGAAAATAAAGGGGTGATTAAAAATGCAACAAGCAAATGTGGAACAATAAAATATGCAGACATATTGACTTAAAAGCACAAATGCATTAAAGTAGACAAAAAGGAAACTTTAAATGATTGAAGGTACAACTCATAATGAAATATGACTGTTATTAAATGTACCAAATTACACAATTGAAATATATTTATAGCAAAACCCTCAGAAAATAAGATGAAATCAACAATGACACAATAAAAATGGGAGACTATCGCAACTTTCTCAGTCCTTACCAACAAAAAACTAGACTAAAACTAAGTGTAATATAGTGGATATGACTAATTTTTTTTATCATTCATTCTATTAATGTGCTATATCACATTTATTGATTTGCATATGTTGAACCATCCTTACATCCCACGAATGGATTCCACTTGATCATGGTGTATGATCCTTTTAACATGCTGTTGAATTTGGTTTGCTAGTATTGTCGAGAATTTTTGCATCTATATTTAAAAGGGATATTAGCCTGTATTTTTTTTCTTGTAGTATCCTCATCTAGCTTTGTTATCATGGTACTGCCAGCCTGAAAAATGAGTTCGGGAGTGTGCCCTCCTCTTCAATTTTTTTGAAATACTTTGAGAAGGACTGGTGTTAGTTCTTTAAGTGTTTACTCTGATATACAAACCAGATAGAATGTAGTTTCTATCCAAGCACTTATGAGAATGTTTACAAAAGCTGCTATTTATTAGGCTACCAAAAAACTCCCCCATAAATAAAAAGTATATAGAGTGGAACAGACCACATTTATTACCAAAATGAAAACCAGGATTAACACAATCACAGAAAAAACACTCTCAACTACTTTGAAATTTAAATGCTGCTTCTAAAAAACAACTCAAATTAAAAATAATAAAAACATCATAATCTACAGAGCACAACTCAAGCTCCACTGTAAGGCAATGGCAAAGCCTTACATATATAATTAAGCAAGAATGAGATGAATTAAACACTCAAAGTGAGAAAAAGCAACAGAATATACTAGATTTATAGGTTAAAATATAAGTTAATAAATTACTCGGTATAAATAATTAATTATAGAGCTAGGACAGGTAGAGATGATGTTCAGGATGATATGCTTGCATTTAGTATTTTAGAACAGTCTAGGTCAGCGGTTCTCAATCTGGGGGTCGCGACCCCTTTGGGGATCGAATGACCCTTTCACAGGGGTCGCCTAAGACCATCGGAAAACAAAAAGATATTTACATTACGATTCATAACAGTNATATATATATATTTTGCCAATATGATATTTTTAAAATGCAAATCAAATTATTTTACTCCCCTACCTGATCTGTGAGATCTCCCTCTATCTCTGTTGCCCACAGAGTAAAACCGATGTCCCTGGATGTAGTAAATTATTTTATGATCTGACCCTTGCTGCCCTCTAGCCTCAAAAAAGATAATTTCTCTTCATATGGGAAGGGTCAACTACTTTTTTCTTTCTTTTTAATTGAGGCATATTTGACATATTATTGGGTTGTCGGAAAAGTCATGATGCATTTTTGCAATGGAAAACATAGAAAAAAAATACATCATGACTTTTGTGACAACCCAATAATTTCAGGTGTACAACATAATGATTCACTATTTGTATAAGTTGTGAAATGATCACCACAATAAGTCTAGTTAACATCTGTCACTATATATAGTAACTAATTTTTTTCTTATGACAACTTTTAAGATTTACTTTCTTAGCAACTTTCAAACACATAATACAGTATTAACTATAGTCACCATGCTGTACATTACATCCCCAGGACTTATTTATTTTATAACTGCAAGTTTGCATCTTTTGACCCCCTTCACCCATTTCGCCCACCCTTCACCCCTGCCTTTGGCAACCACCTTTGGTAAATGCCTTTGACAATCTGTTCTCTGAATGTATGAGCTCTGTATTTTTGTTTTTATATCTAGATTCCACATAAAGGTCAACTATTTTACTGCCAATTTTCTGTATGCTCACCTTCGTCTTTAAGCACTTCAATCACATCCTCTATGAGGGTCACCACTTCTTTGCTGTTCTTTGGATGTTGTAAATTCACCCATGTCCTGACTTCTTCAGGGAGAACTGTCAGGAATTGTTCGAGCACCAACAGCTCTAGGATCTGCTTCTTTGTATGAACTTCTGGTCTCAGCCACTGAAGACACAGCTCCCAGAGTTGGCTCAGGGCTTCATGAGGCCCAGATACTTCCAAGTACTGGAAATGTCTGAACTTTTGACGAGAGGCCTCAGAGTCATAGGTCTCCATGACCGGGATGCTTTCCTGCTGCCAAGACATATCTGCTCTCAGGACATCACTTTGCTGATGTACAGCCAGGTTTTGAGGTTTTGAGATAGCCATCAACTTGTTCAGGAGCTGCATCTTCCTAGACAGAATTCCTACTGTTGTTTGAATTTGTCTTACCAGAGGACCAGTACTTCTTAGGCTTGAGCTAAGCACCTATGTACTATATACAGTGTGATTTGAGCAAAGTTGTGTATCAGGAGAAAAATTCCAGGGGCTTCAGATACAATGTCAACATTCAGGTACCTGAGAGGCTGAAAAAAGACATAAATATGACCTACAGATAATGAACATGTATTAGCATAGTTTTAAAAGCTAAAATAATACAAATAATATTCTTAAAATTACCTAAGAAAATAAATATTATGAATTCTCCTGTCATTCTTATTTTCCTTCTTTAGAACAGGGAAATGTGTTGTCTCTTTGCCCCCAACCACCCACCCAAAAGACAGAGAAGCAAACACAGATAAACATCACACACAAAAAAGTAATAAATGAAATAGCCCTTTGATTAAAACAAGCCTCATAATTGAATTGCAGTTAGATTTCTTCTGTACCGGGTAACAATTCATTTTTGCTTTACAACTAAGGATCTCTTAGAGATGCCTAAAAAAATTTCTTCCTCAGTTCTCATTAAAATACCAATAAAGTTATCTAAGATGAGTAAAATTCGCAGTAGCACTAGAAATTAAGGTAAGAAACTGTAATTTTAACACATTGTGGACCAGTGACGCAGATTTGTATCTATACATTAAGGGGGAATGTTTCCAGAGGTATCACACCCTCAAGCACTACTAGGATCTTTGGTATTTCCTGAAATTTTCAGTTCACAAAAATAGTTAGCAAATTTGTTATAAAGAAATACAGTATAAAAGTTTATTTAAATGGTTTAAACCCCAGAACATGCATTTAAACAATTTAAATGCCCCATTTAACACATTGAGATGTGTTAAAAATATAAGAATAAATATCAATAAGCCATTTCATTGTTAGGGGTATATCAAAAAGTGCATTCCTAGACTACAATTATTTTAAAAATTCATTTGTTAGAACTCACTATGGGCCAGTCTGCAATGTCCACCAGTGAGGTCTCAGGCTCAACAAAACGTTTAGACTCACAAAACTACCATGGGTCAAATTTGGCACCAGTTTATTCAGAAGGCTATTGGACAGAAAACACAGCTTGCTACCAGAGTGAGTAACTGACATTTTTCTTCAGTGGGAGTCCTCATAGACTACTGTTCAAGTCAAGAGACCCAGTAGGTTGTGCAGAAAGCATCTTACCTGAAAAGCCTTCCCATAGGAGCCAATCTCTCTCTCTCCTAACGAGTCTATGAGCACAGCACTGAGTTCCCCAAAGGGCTTGCCCAACTATAACAGCCATTACATTCAGGGAAGTTCAGACACAGCTTTCTGTCTGATTTACAATTCTCCCAATCTGGATGCAATTTACCATTCAGGGGTCTTCAAGGGTGCTTTTGCCACAAGGGGAAATTTGGCAATATCAGAGACAGTTTTGGTTGTTGTCACAACTGGGGGTTATTACTAGCACCTAGGGGGAGGAAGCCAGGGATGCTACTAAATACCTTACAACGTGGAAGACAGCCCTCTATGACAAAGATTTATCCAGCCCAAAATATCAATAATTCCAAGATTAAGAAGCCATGCTATAGGCAATACATAGTAATTAAGAGTACATATACTTTGGAGTCATACCTGACATGAGGTTAAATCTCAGCTGAAGTTACTGTATGTATGAAATTGAACAAATTATTTAACAAAAGCTTGAGTTTTCTCAACTATAACATGACTATAAAAATACCTACATGATTGAATTATAGTGATTAAAAGAACACTCATCTCACTTCAGGCAGACAATAAGCACTCAATACCCGCTTTGTTGAGAGTTTTTATTATAAATGATGTTGAATTTTGTCAAACATTTTTTCTATTGAGATTATCATGATTTTTATACTTCATTTTGTTAATGTGGTGTATCACACTGACCTATTTGTAGATATGATTGTAAATCATATATCTGACAAGGGGTTAATATCCAGAATACCGTGGGTGCCCAAAAAATGTATACAAGTGGACACTTTGGTCAACATTGCTCAAGCAGTAGTTTGCTGTAATCAGAAGCATCTGGACACTGATGGTAACCACTTTGAGTACCTCTTGTAATTGCAGAAGTCAAACATGACTTGTATTCACCTTTTATCAGCATATATTGAATATTACAATTTTAGTAGTATTTTCTTGTCTTAAAATGTGTATAAATTTTTTTGGCACCATCTGTATATTCAAAACTCATACAACTCAATAGCAAAAACAAACAATCCAATTAAAAAATGGACAGAGAATCTGAACAGACATTTTTTCCAAAAAAGACATACAGAGGGCCAACAGATACATGAAAAGATGCTCAACATCACTGATCATCAGGGAAATGCAAATCTAAACCACAATGAAATACCACCTGTAAGAATGGCTATGATAAAAAAGACAAGCGATAAGTGTTGGCAAGGATGTGAAGAAAAGAGAACCCTC